CGGCACGAGTAAACCCTTTCGACGTGTCCAACATAAACTTTTCCCAGTCATCCGCTGCCCCTCCCCTGATCAAACCTCCAGACTCTGTACTCCTTGTTGGCATTGAAAGCCATGTAACGGTCATCCCACTCGTTGGTTGTGAAGAGATGATACGACTTGTATCCCCAATCTTTCACCAGCAGTTTGCTGGCTTCCACAAGGGGCATTTGGTGAACGATGGGGATACCCAACCCGTGGTTCGGCCCCGGCAAACGCCAATCCGTCTTCGGGTTTAGTTCGAATTCGTTGCAAATACGTTCATAGGCTCGCCTATCGTACTTGTTGTTTAATGGGTTCCATGCATTGTCCTGTGGGAGCGGGACGCTGATTTCTTTAAGGATACGCCTGACCTGGTAGTACACGTGGAACTTGAACACAGACTGACTCAGCGGTCCACGCCGAGTGTCGGTCAATGTCACACCACACCCCGTTGTAGCGCACCACACGGCGAAGTTGAGTTGATTCTGCCAGAACTGCATCGGGTTGTTGAACCAAGCATGAACTACCTTAGCGTTAGTCACCGAAAATTTATACAGGCTGAACACATCTAAAAGCTGGGCGTTGAAATACATCCCATCAGCAACCGCGATCTTCATGGGTGAGAAATCTATGTCCAGTTTAGGGTAAAACACACCAGGGGAGTAAGACACTCCTTGCGAGGATGCTCCTCCTTGGGAATACATTTTAAAACTATTATATAATGAGCATATATACTCTAACATGTACATAACACTTCCAGGAATAACGAACGGTGAGGCCATTCAGCTGACGCACGCGATCGATAATACGTCCGGTCAACTCGAAGTCGCACTCTGCGATATCACCTACCTACCGCAATGGACTAACATCAACGCCAGCAACAATAAGCTGTTCGTTAGTGGAACTCGCAGCCAGATAACTGACGGCTACTACAGCGTGTGCTCGCTAAGCGATGAGGTCTTCAAACCCCTGGGAGCCGAACTCAAGATGAACGACTCAAACGGCACAGTGGTGTTAATCAACAACGGAAGAAACTCCTTGAGGCTCGGCCGGCCATTGGCGAAGACACTCGGTATATCACCTGACGAGATAAAACCAACAACAACCGTCACAGGCACGAAGTTACCCGACCTAGTACCGTACCGAGAGCTGTACATTCATCTAGGTCAGGTGAGCACAACGTACAACATTCAAGGGGGTCACCCTTCCACTATACTGAGAGCCGTGCCGGTGAAAACGGAGAAATACAACGACGGTAGAACCGAGTCGTTTTCACCGCGGCAGTATAAGAGGTTGACTCAGGGCAACATACCTGAGCTGATAATATCGGTGTTAGATATAAATCATAATCCCGTGAATATAGGATACCTCAGCTTAACGCTTCACATAAAATGACCAGCGCACAAGGGCCCGGGGTGAAAAAATGCGTCAATGTGGGGATCTCCGACCTCGGGGACACACGCGGTTTCGACGCTCCCGGAGTAGATGGTAAATTGTACGCCTTGCAACTGAAAAACAACATTTACAAACGCGTTGAAGTCCCCTCCGGTGGAGCCCTAGGTGATATAGTAGATACCTCAAGAGCGGTAGTCAACACTAAGTACACCCTAGTCACCACCGGTAATGATAATTGGATAATATACCCATCGTTCGGGGGCAAACTGTTCGACTTAGACGATGTTGAGAGCACTACCGTCGCCCGAAACAAGCCATATATGCTCGTCTTCACCGAAGATGACAAGTGGGTGTTGATACCAGATAAAGACGACTGGTTTCTCAATATTAGGCTCGGCTCCCCCTACGTGTTCACGGATAACAAAGACAACCACCTAAACAAAGTCGTTAACAACGGAACCCTGCTCGTGGCTTACGTCCCGACTCAGAGACGTAGCGTAGTCATCAGCCCAGTCGCCAGTATGGCAGCCCACATGCTATCGAGTAAAGCGGGCATGCAAAACGTGACATTGCAGTTGGTGTCTGAATTTGAAGGCGTGGTCAGGATACTAGAGAGTCTACCGGCGAACTCAACACTGATCATCAAAGTCTACCTAGGGGAACCATCGGGGAATGATGTCGAGATCGTGAAGGGGATCAAACTTGGGTGGGTGAAACGACACCAGTATCACGTTTGCACAGTTTACGTGCGGGTGGGTGTCGGCTCCAACACCAGTCTGCAGGGTGTCACCGTGATCGTGGAAAACACTATATCACTAACCAAGATCTTCCTACCTGACAACATACACTTCATGGGGGTAAAGTTAACCCCTGACCTATTATCAGAAAACCAGTTGGAAATTATATCGTAATAGTATTATAGCAATGACCAGTCATCGTCCCAACACTACGCTTAACGACCTAGGGGACATGGAGGGATTCGATCAGCCTGGTGAGGAAGGTGGCTCATACATCCTACACTTAAAAGACAACGTGTATAGGCGGGCAGCAATGGCCGATCATCTACCCAAGCCCACACTCGAGGGCCTAGGGGGACGGAGGGATTCGATCAGCCTGGTGAGGAAGACACCTTATACATCCTACACTTCAAAGACAACGTGTATAGGCGGGTGTCGTTATCAGATTTTAAAGAGCCTGAATGGTTACTCAACTTAACCCTCACTGCACCTTATATCACCTTGAGACAAGATAGTACTGTCTCCGAGCTTAAGAACAACGGCATAATTATAGGATCGTTCGTTCCGGAACCCCAAGGCCCACCTATAGATGGAGTGATATTTCCAAAACCTAATATATATATCACACCAATACCAGACCACTCGGGTAACATGTTAACTTCCAGGGAGAAGGTGAAGATAGGGATCAAATTACTTGATCACCAAGAGGTCTTTAGAAATGTCAGGGAAAACTACACATTCATCATAGATGTCTATCTCGGAGATAACCCGGCGACTGGGGCGTATATTCACATTATGGCCGATATGGTCATAAATTGGGAAGCCAGGTGTAATGGCAAACGTTGCCGTATTACTAAGGTATCGGGAAACATACCTGTAGCAAGCCTTGATGGTGTTGGGCTCTTTAATGGAAGTAGAGTTAAGACCCCGTTTTTTTACGTGCACACTAATCTAAGTTATATCAGCTTTAAGTACATTAGCCGAAGGTTAACTGATACTCAATTAAAATATCTTTTGTAATATATATTATAGGATGGGGCTGTACCCAGTCATAGAGGAAGTAGCGAAGACCCTGGAAACCGTAGACGGGTTCCGCTTGAGGCAGTTATGTGATGTAAAACGTCAACTAGAGCAAGACCGCGACACACGTAAAGCACTATGTAAAAAGTACCATAGAGCTTTCAATATCGTGGACGGGGCTGACGCTGCCCTTATGGCAACCAGCATGGGGCTGGGAGCGGCAGGTGTTGGGTTGTTAGCTACCATCGTGGCTGCACCTATAGTACTAGGTATTGAAATAACAGCTGGGGTGGCAGGGGTGTTAGGGTTGGTGCTTAAGTTGGCATCACGTAGACTGCATCGTAAGGCATTGAAACACGACGAGATCAGGGTTCTGGCCGAAGCAAAACTGAACACAGTAAGTGAGCGTATTTCCACTGCACTCACTGACAGTAAGATCTCAGAGGAGGAATTTCGTTCAATCCTCTCTGAACTCACAAAATATAACGAAATGAAACAAGAGATTCGGTCCAAGTCTCGTAAGTCTGCTATCAGCGAGGATGATAAAAAAAAGTACATAGAACAAGGTGTGAAAAAAGCCCGGCAAGCCTTTATTACAAACACCAAAGAGATCATAGGCGATTCACATTAAACTGTTTCATCGAGGTAAACATAGCATAGTTAGACGCAGCCCAGTATTGGATGGGGCAATACCCGTTACTTCCCCCATGCCCCCGGTAGCGCGGCTAGGAGGTGCGTTCGCATCCCCCAACTTTTGTAGTAGGGGTAATGGTAGCAAGAGCTAAGGGTCCGACCAAAGCCTTACTTGTGAAATAAGGCTTTGCAGAGGCTTTGGTTGAAAGTGATCCAGAACCGCTATCGTCCCAAACTTTTTCATAGTAGGGGTAATGGTAGCAAGAGCTAAGGGCCCGACCAAAGCCTTACTTGTGAAATAAGGCTTTGCAGAGGCTTTGGTTGAAAGTGATCCAGAACCCCCATTGTATATACTACTAAAGCTAAAGATAGTTCGACAAGACTTTACGAGAAGGATTGTCAAACTGTTCAGTAGATCGATACTGGCAGATTATCAATCACAATTCCGATGACCGGCACCACTTTATGAAAGAGATTGCCAATCATGCTTTAGGTAGACTGTCGTGACTTTATGACATATTTTATAGTATGAGTGAGTGAGTGAGTGAGTTTAGTTTTACGCATCTCTCAGCAATATCCCAGCTATATGGCGGCGGTCTGTAAATAATCGAGTCTGGGCCAGACAACCCAGTGATCACCAGCATGAACATCGATCTGCGCAATTGGGAACCGATGACATGTGTCAACCAAGTCAGCCAAACTGACCACCCGATCCCGTTAGTAACCTCTTACGACAAGCATAGTCGCCTTTTATGGCAAGCACATGGGTTGCTGAAGACCTATTCTACACCGGGTCTTCACGGGTCTATTTTATAGCATAGTAAAGATAACTCGACACTGCTTTTGTGACAGATCACCAAATATGTTTCACCCTACATTATAAGGATTGCCAACCTTGACACAGGTCTTTCGACACTGCTTTGTAGCAGATGGCCAACCTTGACACAGGTTTTTCAAACCTACAGCAGATTGTCAGTCATGGTCAGTCACGGAAACTGCTTTATGAAACAGATGGTCAAGCACGGGTAAAGTAGTTCGACACAATACTGAGACATGCAGCTCAATGACACTGAGTCAATTTGAGTCTAACTGATCAGTTCCTTGTGCCAATAAAATACCAATAACATAGTTGTGCACGCATGAAGAATATGCAAGGTTACAACGTTTTACACAAGGCTAGAAATAAAATCCCAATACCTTTATAGTTTTAATGACCTCGGTCATCTTCTCTTGACTCTCGTCAAGGTCGAGAATCTCAAGAAGATCCATGATAGTCCCCATTTTCAGGTTACGAATGGAAAACTTCTCCATAAAAGCACCAGCCTTCTGGAAAAGGGTTGCCAGAGCTGCAACAGATTATTTTTATGATAAGGTCGATGATGTCCTCGTTTTCTCCTCTCCGTCACAAAAGTGGTTGTTAATGAGAGAAAAATACTTTGCAATATGTCGCAATGTTAAATTAATGGTATGTTCTCTGATAAGTTGACAGACGTTCCAACTTTTCTTTGAAATTTGGAACCAAACTTTACATTGAGGAAATGGATACCTTGTGAATTAGATGTTAAGTTAAGATGTTAAATATTTATGAAAACAAGAATTACATTTGCCACGTTAAGTTAATTATACAGGGCAAGTTGTCACAGAAGCATGTTACGTCAATGTGTGAAACAATCACATTCCAGGTTGATGTCAGTGCCTCAGAGTCGTCATGTCTGTCTCGTAACTTAAAGTGAGTGAGTGTGGTTTTACCCCGCTTTTAGCAATATTCCAGCAACATCACGGCGGGGGACACCAGAAATGGGCTTCACACATTGTACCCATGTGGGGAATCGAACCCGGGTCTTCAGCGTGACTAGCGAACGCTTTAACCACTAGGCTACCTCACCGCCCCCGCAACTTAAAGAGCTCTCAGTGACCGAATATAAATATACAGTCAAACACCGTTGGGTCGAAGTTGAAGGGACACATGTAAATTCTTCAAGGTATCCGATGTTCGTGACAACTGAATATGAATAATAGTAATGCTGAATAAGGAACATGCAGGGGCCTAGCCTTTCCTTCGTCACAGCCGTCCGTTCGACGTTGTTTGACTGTATATAGTGAATCCTGCTCCATTGTTTGTCTATTCAACATACTTTGTGCTTGGTCATGACACATGCACTCCTCCGGATAACATCAAATACACACTCCAAATTCAAGGAACATGCAAGTTCAAGTTCATCAACAACTCTTCAGTTGTAAATAATAAAAATCGCTTTTATTTATTGGTTATGCAACAAACAAGAGAGTTCGTGCTGTGTAGAGCAGTCCACTTGAACACTAGATGTAAACATCCTCCTCCCAGTGTTACTGATCTGTTATACAAATAAATATCTAACGCCATTTGCTAATCTGTACATTGCTAAAGTCTGCTTACCGGAATCTTTAGTTGCCTTGGCCTTTTCTTCAATCTGTGGCTTGCGAGATAGCATCTTTTGGAACATGGAATCAGGCTTTTCTGAAACAAAAATATATGTATCTCCCAGAAATATTCCCTAATCTAAACACCCGGGGTGATGCAAGGCAAAACTGACAAAAAATGGAGAGGTTTTCCTGATGAAGCAAGATGCCGCTTCAATTTGCTGGTTTAACGGTACTTTCCTTACTGAGTCACGCACTCACGGTACGACATATTGATCCACAACAAAACAGCTCCCACAAACAACAGAATGACACAAAGTTGATCGCAAAACAAAACTGTGTGTCAACAACTGCCAAAACTGATACTGTGGTAATAACAGTCACGGCCGGGCAGTACCTCTGTAAATGGCTGTCCAACAACACAATACTTAACTTCTTTGAGTGTCATTTTACAAGTTGGGAAGTACAGTATTGAACAAACTTAAAAAATTAATCAACGAAAAAAGTAAGTTGTTATCCATACAGTTTGTTCAATATTATAACTCAATACTTTGATATACATAACTGCCACTAAAAGAAATCATGTAGATGAAATACCAGCCCGATGTGATCGAACGAAAAAAGACAATACCACAAAACTGAAAATGTAACACACCATTTTCAGCGTCAACGACTGAGGACGGATCTTTTGAGAACTCGAGGTCCTCGGGATCTTCAATGTCACTTCCTTGTCTCCCTGGGCTGGTGTCGTCGAGTTTCTTACCGCCCAGACACACAATGCAGTCCTCAGCTAAAGTCTCGAACTGAATAAATGACAACTAGTTACAATATATAATTAATCATTTGCATTTCCTTGTGATTGCAGGTTCCACCTGGGTGTGTTACTCCTCAAAATACTTAAGAAATGTGAAAGAGTTTGTTTTTGAAATAATCATAAGTACATAAACACATGCACAGACAAGTCGAGTGTTCACTTGAACAAATTCAGCAACACTCGGGACAAGCCGAAATATGCAATTTATATCGGGCATCGTTCTGGTCACTGATGTGGCAGATTTGTCCACATGTCTGCCATGAAACGTTTGAAAAGCCTTACGAAGTCCGTGAATGCTGTAGCCCTGAGCGTATTCTGTGATGCTGCAGACACCAATGGCTACTAGAAAATCTTGTCCATATTCATTCGTCATTCTGAGTGAGTGTATCTGCATATATCTAGATATGAAACAGTGAGGAGGTCGCTCCAATATTCTGCGTTGTATTGAACGATATCTGATCGACCGTATACCTGAATCTCAGTTTAAACGTACAGTTGTCCAGTGTTTATATTTTGACACCATCTGTATGCTCATCAAGACAACCAAATCCACACACACACACACACACACACACAAGCACGCACGCGTGGGTGTATCCCTTTTTATCATGGACTTTTACCTTAAACACCACCTTGTAGTCGTCACATTCTTGCACCCACACAGGAATCTTCGGTACCCTGACCCCAGATAGTGTGTAGGATCCACATAGCCTCCCTTCCGTCTCAGGGAGAAATGGATGTGTTCGTTACCCCCACACGGGGAGTTGGCAGCCACGCCTATCTTCTGTCCAGCACTCACCTGGGCCAGACATTCAGGTAATGGATTGACTATACAATTCCACGAACACCTAAACTTTGACTCAATGACATTAATTTCTTATAACAAACGTTATTATTGGATGATGAATATTAAGAAATGCCACAAGAAAACAATACGGAAGTTGAAGTAACATATAGAAAGACTGTTACAGTCTTCGCTTTGTCGTAAGCCGATGTCTGTCAACAGCTCACGTTAAATATCAATAAGGGACGTTTAGTTACATACTTTCAGTCTAAGACAGGAAGGCAGATATTTTGGACGCTCTGATGATTACATTGATGTTGACATTGACAGCTGGAGAAAGAAGGTGTTGTCATTTTACGCCGCTTTCAACAACGGTATCAAGGCGGAATACTAGTTACCGAATTGAGGTCCAGAAAACAATTATTTTATCTATTGTGACTAATGCTGGGTGCGACACACGCAATCAAATTCAAATGAACTGACACTGACCACCTAATAAATAATGTGTAAAATGTGTGACCACCTAGTAAAAGAGTGCCGAGGCCTTTTCTGTGGTACCCTAGGGAACCTGCAGTGGATACTTGCCTGCTAACCATGTACAGTAGCAAGTACATGCCTTCCATCCATACATAAAAAAATATACATAATAAGTCATCTTCTATAGCGCACGTTTCCAAACACCAAGTGATTGCTCGCGGCGCTTAATCAGAATCTGATTCTTATTACCCCGGATAACCCAAGCTGCCTGTTAGGTGCAAGAAGGTTATAGTCACATGACTTTATCCAACCGGGTACCCATTTTCTGCTTGGTGAACAGAGGCAATTTGAACAACCTCACTTGCCTAAGGTGAGACCACATGTATCACATGTGCTTCGTTGTGGGGCAGGACTGAAGTCCTAGAAACTCAGGAGTCAAGGTGCCAAACACGGTCACCCATCCAAGGACTGTCCAAGCTCGACGTTGCTTTACTTCAACTGATTCGTGACCTGAGCTCTGTGCTCAGGACCACGCACCACGTAGTCAGTACATCAGTATCTCGCCGTTGTAGTTTGGTGGGCTGGAAAGCCACGTGCTGGTCGAAGATATGACTTAAGTCCCTGTTGAAAGTGTTTAATGTCTACAGCATGATGCAATTCACCACTTACTGGATTGTCGACATAAGTAGGGTCACTCGGGTGTTGTATGTTTAAGGAACTGTCGGGGTCGATGTTAGTGATGATAACCTCAGTTTCCATCAAAGATCCTGCATTCGGCATGATGATGACCTCATAAGGGTTGTCGGAGAGCATGATGTTGCCACCAAACGGAGCCACAACCTGCCGACACATTGCAGATACCTCCAGTGAGAGTAAGTGAGTGAGACACTTTGGATATAGTGCCAAATTGGTGTTTTGCTTTTTGTCTTCAATACAGATGATTTAAGAATTTTTAGATCTAAAAAACATGTCTGACTAAAGTTTGGACGTACATTTGTGTCAATACCAAACCCAGCAGACTCTAGATCGGCCAAAGTAGCTGTAGTGACTTAATTGTCGCTGGTCACCGTAGAGAGTTCCAAAAATTCCAAAATGCCGAATGTCCTATTCAACCTGATAATATTTCAAGGTTCTACCAGATACATGCTTGTGACTGTCCAAAGTGGAATATGTTTAAAAATGCATTGCTTCGGGCTTTCCTCAAAGATCAAGCTGAGATTTCATGATGGAACAGAAAAACTGAGCGGCACAAAATCCATCTCACTCAATTCATAAATATATTTTAAAATGTAAAATGTTTATCCATCCACACTAAGTGGCATCCCTAGCACATAAGTAGAATATGATGCTCGCTCAACGTTGCTTACGTCATTGCCAGTAGATATTGTCACATCTATTCCTTCATGCACGTATTCGTTTCCATTTTTCAGTTCAGATGGGTAGTTGCCATGCCCGTTGCATCCACCCCCAGCGAGTCGGAGAGTTCGGGGGAAATCCGTGTCACACTTGGGGCCGAAAACACGGTCGATAAGAGAGCGGGCTGTTCGGTATCTGAAGGTATATCCCAATATATATGGGGGAATACATACAGGAGGGCCACATGACCGGAAACATACTGTTTCTCATTGACCTCTGCCAGATAATCAGAATTGGTTGGAACTAGTGTGAAGGATACCATTGACATATTCCCTCATATGTTTTTTATAGCTCACTAACTGTGTGAACTTTGAATAAGGATTCCACAACAATAAAAAAGACAAGACGACGGCCGTTTCGTTTTCAGATCATTAATCCACATACTACTTTGTACTAAACTGAAAAACAAATACCCTTAATGTTAAGCCTTTGCACAATAAAAGCATTAACTTGTTGTCCCAGAAAATCCTTCAAAATTTTCTGTTGTAAATGTCGTATATAGCCTTGATGCAATACTCCTCACCCTTCCTTCAGAGTGTTGTAAGCTTCCTTCACGCTGTTGGCGAGCTCAACCACCTTCTGGAAAGTGTCCAAGAACTCCCCTCCCAGTTTTTTCAGAGGTTCAAGAGGAGCCAGAACATCATCAACAATGTCCGTCATCATGGTCACAACTTCCTGTCTCATCTCAGTCTGTAAAATAAATATCGGTACAATTATGTATAATCCATGCAACATAGAGTGAGGGAGTGAGTTTAGTTTTACGCCGCACTCAGCAATATCCCAGCTATATGGCGATGATGTCTGTAAATAATCGAGTCTGGACCAGACAATCCAGTGATCAACAGCATGAGCATCGATCTGCGCAATTGGGAACCGATGACATATGTCAACCAAGTCAGCCAAACTGACCACCCGATCCCGTTAGTCGCCTCTTACCACAAGCATAGTCGCCTTTTATGGCAAGCACATGGGTTGCTGAAGACCTATTCTACCCCGGATAAAAGAAAAAGAGAAGAAATTTGATTTGCGTTTCCAGAATCAGTGCATAGCGATTAAATGAATGTTTGACGCTCCGGTCAACAACATTCCAACTATTTTAGTAAATGAATCCAACCGTCGACACAAACCGATGACTTGAAGAGTAAACAGCAATCCGAAGGACGTGAAATCAGCCAAATACTCACGTTAGACAGTCCTGTCCCTTTAGTAGCTAAAGACGTTGGTGTTTAACGCCCAAATCAGCATTAATCCAGGTATATCATGGCGATTTGTAAATATTCGAATTTAGACCTGACAATCCAGTTATTGACATCATGACCGTCGATTACGTTACAATGACATGACACCAAACCATTAGGTTACAATGACATGACACCATCAACCATTAGGTTACAATGACATGACACCATCAACCATTAGGTTACAATGACATGACACCATCAACCATTAGGTTACAATGACATGACACCAAACCATTAGGTTACAATGACATGACACCATCAACCATTAGGTTACAATGACATGACACCATCAACCATTAGGTTACAATGACATGACACCATCAACCATTAGGTTACAATGACATGACACCATCAACCATTAGGTTACAATGACATCACACCATCAACCATTAGGTTACAATGACATCACACCATCAACCATTAGGTTACAATGACATGACACCAAACCATTTGGTTACAATGACATCACACCATCAACCATTAGGTTACAATGACATCACACCATCAACCATTAGGTTACAATGACATCACACCATCAACCCAAACAGGGAGTCTCACCACTCGATCCCCTCAAGTCGTTACTTATGGCAAGCATGGGTTGTTGAAGATCAATTCTAATCTGAATCTTCACGGGAAAGGCTGAAGAAACGTCAATTAATGCTCACCATGTTTGTCTTCCCGTTGGAAAACTCATCTACAGGGTCCCTCTTCCATTTGAGTACTTCTTTGATCCATTTCTCCCCACCTTGCTGCAGCGCCGCCTTTGCTTCAGTCCCCGCCTCCACTATTTCTACCACCTTGGAACCAAGGTCCATCCAGTCAGGAGGTTGTTCTGTTAAACACAAACAAGGGCATCGTGCCACTTTTAACAGAGTTCATATCAATTATAAACACATTGCGATTTCGTGGCATTTACAGTTCTTGGTGTTTCGAAGCCTATAAATGATGCCAATTAATGGGCGGAGATTTTGTTGCATCATTTTGGTGAACAACGTCTCTAATTTCGTATTTTTGTTTACATTTTTTTTTTACTTGTATATTTGCTCGTTTGGAGGTACAGCATTAATCCAGGTGTGCAAACTGGATTTTAAGTTCAGGCTTACATAAACTTTAAAACATTTTGACGTAAATGCTTCATTAGGAAATTCCAAAGTGACAAGTCTCACATGAACACGGGTAAAGTAACGCAAACGTAATTATACTTCTTTCAACTAAATATATGAAAGTTCCTGGAAGATGATGTTATGTTGTATCTTCTTGTATTCTGCAGCATCAGCGCCAAAGACATAGGACGTGATATTACGCAGAGCTACTTAAGGTATGAACTGTACGTTAATTTTGTTTGGTTTAAAAAACTTACTGATGGTGGCAAATAGAGCATGCTTGGTCTTGTTTATGGCACTGACCAGATTTCTGACTTCTAGACCAATGCTGAAATACAAAAGGCATCAATATCTACTCCTTGTGGCCACAATATCATTATATGGAACTGATCATTTGACAATTGCATGACTGGGACATAATGACCAACACGATGACGTTACTCACGTGATGACGTTGCCAGCGACGGTAGAAATGGCCTGTTTGGGGTCTTTGTTGAACGTCCTGAAGCTGTCAATGATAGCCTTGATAGCCTTATAGATCATCTTCCCTGCCCTGGGTATTATAATCGTCACTGTCTCCATCAGTTGCTGAAATGGGCGGCACAATAATATCATGATTTATTTAGAAAAACATATTTTCTTACATCTTATCAATGGATAATTTCAGCTTCAAAGCTACAATGGAAATTTACTAAACATAAGCGACAAAACCCTTTCCACATCCAGAAGAAATCTCTGGTTAAAGCAGAGTCGATTGTGCAATTGTGACAATATGAGGTGTATATATTTGTATCAGTAGTATTGCAGCTGTATGATGTTGTTCGTTGACAAATCGAGTCTGGATCAATGCAGAAATGCAGTTGAATGATGAAACAATAGTTTTTTTTGTTTCAGCTAAGATGATTCTTAACCTACAGGGTACTCTGCACCAGGATCTGCTGATAGTGGGTTTAAACCTGACTATTTATTTTCATGTGCTTCAACAATGAAAGTGAAAACGGCTAAGATCTTGGCTACGGTGTCGGCTTCTCCCATATTGAGCTGCCCTGTATATAACTGTAGCGGCGTTAAATCCTCGGGCAAGGCGGACGAAAAGCCATCTTGTCTGACTGAGGTAACATTATGCCATATAATGCCTTATAAACGAACAAACACCCACTCACACCAACACAGGCAAGCACAGTCAGACAGACAGACAGACAGACGCGCGCGCTCACACACACACACACACACATACGTACATTATATAGCAGTTTTTTAAAATGGTTCTAAAATTGGAATTTTAAAGTGTCACATTATAACCGAACATCCCTTGAAGCAATATTAAGGTGTAATTACGTTGTAAAAGCTGAGAACCGATGACTTAATTTCATTGTAAAGATTTGTGACTTTCAGCACAACGTTCCTGGCAGGTTTAGCGAAGGGAGGCAACTGCTTCTCTTCCAGCTGGCCAAGGACCTCCATAGCATCTGATGCCTTCTTCCCGACACTGACAACCTGTATCATATCATATATATACATACATATCAACGACACTGCCAGTCAGAAAATAGTAGTAACGATCCCCATACTACTGTCAATGTGGAAAAGCTCCCAATCGTTATTCTTACGAAATGTTACGCCACTAAAGAAATACAATTTGAGCAGGGCATAACAAATTACCACGAGTATAAAGGCTCTCTCTATTCTGTAATGCCATTACTCCATATGAATTACATTTATTTTACTCAATCAGTCAATCGCTGTGCAATGTGCAACATGAACAAAATTCCACCTTATCTGGGAGTTCCTCGAGTGACCGCCTGAAGCCTTCTACCATGTCAGCAAACGAGAACTCTCCACTGACAATGTCCCGGAAGAGATCCAGACCTTTCCCTATAGCTCCAGCTGCATCACCTTTAACGGCGTCGTAGAGTTCCACCAGTTTCTTGAGGTTGTCCACGCCGTATTCCTGTAACAAGGAAAGGGACAAAAAGATGTAAATACAGTGTGCACCTGGGCATGTTTCATGAAGGACAAAGTTGGCTGCAAATGATGACATACTTTACGATGTGGTATAAATCTTGTTTGCATGTTGGCTATTAATCATTTTCAAATTTCAATTCAGAAATCTGGGCTCCTCAGAAAACCACTGGCTCATGGTCGCAAATGCCCCTCAAGAATAGTACGACTAATCACAGACACATTATAAGAGAGGGGCGGTGGGGTAACCGAATGGTTAAAGCGTCCGCTCGTCACGCTGAAGACTCGGGTTCGATTACCCACGTGGGTACAATTACTGAAGCCCATTTCTGGTGTTCCTCCGTAAGGATATTGCTGGAATATTGCTAAACGCGGTGTAAGACCATATTCATTTACTCACATTATAAGAAATGGTGCTTAGCGGCTGTGGACAAGGGACATAGCATTGGAGAAGATTAAGCCATTTACCCGTTCATCGGTTGCAAGTAATCTAGTACCATCATGGTTTACCCTGAGTAGATACGCAGGGACGAACAACCGGTGTTATTACTGTAGCTTGAGATACGTTTTAAGAAGAATTTTAACGTCTTTAGAGCATCAGATATATGAGGTACCTGGCATGCAGTGGCACGAAGATGGTCTAATAAAGGCTCGACAAATAACTTGTTAAAGCACCCCACCTGCAGCATGTTCAGGTTGTAAGCAGATCCTCCCTTGAAGCAGATCCTCGCCAGGAAGAAATCAAGGTTAAAGCCCATGAAACCAAGGTGGATGCGGGCGTAGGCTTCATCGTGGATGTTGACTCTCATGTGTCCACTCAGGGGCTCTGTAATATGTAGATGCATGTAACATATGTCTGCATGGAAGATATTGCTCGTTCCAGGCTGTGTAAACTATAATGAATTAACCGTATTTTTCAAACAAGAGGCGAATATTTTGCAAAATGTTTTCGGGTGTAGAAATTACGGTGTATAGAATTTGATTGCTATTGGTGTTTTTTGGATTACTTCAGCTTCAGTGATAGCTTTTTGGTTACAAATAACGATATTTTGAAACATAGACAATGGTGTGATGAATATCGTAAACAATGACTATGTATCATCTCACGTGTCTGGAACCAGATGGATATGAAACACGGGCATGTACAGGACACTGCGGTTATAATTAACTCAGAGGTACCATTAACTTTAATTCGTTTTAAATTGAACCTGATTGACAATGATTTATGTAGTTTTGCAATGATGTTTCTGAGAGCATTTGTCATGTTTATTGGGAATACTGTGAAAGCATGAAATTCTGGAATGATCTAGAACTCTGGATTAATAAATATTTACCACGACAAACAAACATCACAAAATATTTGATTTGGTTTGGTACATTGCATAATGGTGTATTGCTAAATCAAATCATTATATCTGCCAAAAAACATATCAATGTATGTAATATAAAAAAATCAATTCCAAAATTCAGTAATTATAAAAAGGTATTAAAAGAGATATTTTCTGTAGAAAAATTTATTTCAAAGAGAAACAATGAAATCGAAAAATTCAATCTTAAATGGAATTCACTCATCCCAATATTCAGCAACTAATTATTATTACATCTCTACAGCAATGTATCTTCACCTTTTCTGTGTCTGTTGCTACCATATACCCTTGTTATTGACTTTGTAACCATGGGAACAAATAAAAAACAAAACAAAAGAAACAACAACTTTAATTCGTTCTAACCGTTGTTCGTACGCATTTTGACTAAAATATAAGTAAGTGGCCAAAAACAACACAAAACAGTTCGTTACATGCGTGTTCGTTATAAACGGTGTTTACTGTTACCTCACTGACCCGAACATACCTATTTGGAAGTCTAAAGCATTGCTCATGGTCAGCCCAAAGGAAGCACCAATGGTTGTTGAACCAATCATCTTCACCCAATCTACGTCTGGTGATGCCAGTGTGAACTTCAGCTTATCAAAGATTCCCCTTCTGTGCCGGTCGTGTGCCTCAGTGTCCCGGATTCCAACATAACGAGGGTCAACCTCAAATACGGATCCATTTACGGCACTGGAACATGTTAGTTAGGTAACAGTACTGCATATATTCACACAAACAAAGGTATATATGTTTTCTTGTGTTGTGGTTGTATATTCTACCTTGATTTAGGAAAATGTTCGTTTCTAACTGGTCAATTAGAGGTTTCTAATCACATTGACTACAAGCTCTGTTCACAAACATATTACGATACCATGATACAGGTTCAACACGCGATAGTATTAAACATTTACCCTTGTTGCCTGTACAGGGGGGCGATTGTTGCCTTTGGGTGAGCCTGGTATTGTAGCAGGGCTTCATATCGCACCTTCTCGTCGTCATCGTACAGGGCTGTCTTCAGCATCAGATGTGCTGCCTGGAACAAGTGATGTGCAATAAATAAAGTAATACCGTGCCTCCTGTTTACAAATATTAAAATATGAAATAAATAAAAACATTATCTAACATTATCGTGTTAAAGTCGTGTGTCAAATGACTAATAGTTTTAATACCTTTTCATGCTGGTACTTCCTCAAGGCGTGTATCCCAGCCCGCTTCACCCACTGAGAGTTGGTTGTGTTGACATGTGACACTATCATCTCAAATGATTGGTCGAGACCGGCATTACCCAGAGATCCCAGTAAGATAACTCTCCAGCGGTCGTCATCAAGGACTTCAGTTTCTGTCATGGTGGATCGCTTTGTGCGGAAAAGCCAGGGATCTAGAAAAGATGTGCAGACAAGTAATCCACAACATGATCAAGATCGTGATGAAAGTAATGAAATGTATACTGCAGACATAAATATTCAGGCAATGTCAGTTGATCTGTAAAGAACAGAATCAGTCACCAATGACCAGCAGTGACTCACAGAGGCATTCATCGCCACTCGCCTCTTTCCGTAACCGATATTCGGCTTGTCCCGGAATAACACCAGTTGGTCACGAATGTCACAGAGACACATCAAGAGTTATCCTCACCATGCAATCCAAGCCATCCCTCCAACCTCATGACAATATCATCCGCCTCCTCCTTCCTTCCAGCGTCCAACAGTCGCCTAGCAACCGCCCCCAACGCCAGCAGCATCCTGTGGTATGTTTTGTGTTCCTGTAAAGCCTCGGGGGCTTTCTCCCGCTCAAAACACAGGCTCTTCATTTTTGTGATGAGATTCTGTCTCAAAGAGAAAAAAGGACTCAAACAGTCTTGGATAGAGTTCAAACCGTATAATTTCAATTCTCTCTCGGCTTACTTCTTCGGTTAGTAACACGAACTTCTCAATATTACACCACGCATATTTACACTTACGTCTATCGGTGGTCCATCAAGTGAGACGATGTGGAACATGAATCTCTTCACCAGTGACGAGTCGGGTCTGGATCTGTTGAGGACAAGGTCTAGCAGAAGCTGCTGAGACAGGTCTGTTGTCAGACCAGCGATAGCATCAAACATGTGGTTCTGGTCCTTGAACGTCTTGGTCAGTCTGAAAACGAGATGGAGAGAGGGATCTAATAGGAAATACTATTGACTGGTTTTTTTAAAATCATGGCGGTCTTTACCAGTGCCCATGTTAAGCCATAGGGATTTCCAACAGGCTACCAGCCCAGTACTTGCTTTGGTTAAACCTTTATCATACCGGCACTAGATCCCATTGTCAAAAACACTTCACATTTACAGGAGAGTCTCATAATGGTGTGACTAAAAAAAATCCAAAATTTCATAGTGATATCAAGAAGGGTTCCAGAGATACAGTTGGGTACATCGTGAAAAATGAAACAATCATTTTTTTTGTAACATATCTTCTATTTCTTTGAAATTTAGTGAACAAACTTTCTTTAACACCTAAATCGATGATGCAGGAATGTTCTGGGAATATCTAGGTAATGAAATGTTTGTTTACAGTAGATTGGTATTGAGTGCTACCTCCACTAACGCAGCTGGAATTGGTTTTCTTCGCAAATTTTCAGCGACCAAAACCATATGGCAAGCGTTCCTGAATGCCAGTCCAGCCTTGTCAAAACTGCCCTCATCTGTTTTTAATGGGGGTTTCAATATCCATGTTGATTCTGTGTTAAATCTTTCTGTGACATGCAAGCATTTTTCAATCTCCTACAGCACGTGTCTGGTCATTGATCAGATCATACACTAGACCTAGTCATAACCAAGCATAGTTGTGATATTCTTGATGTCGTTGGTGTTAGTGACAAACAGATATCTGATCATTCACTTATTCAGTGTTCTTTCAAACTCACTAAACCTAAGCAAGTGAGAAAAGAAGTTAGCTACAGGAAGACTTGAAATATAGACATTAGGAAGTCTTCTAATGACACTGAATATTCTGGGCTGCTACAGTCACTCTCTGATTCTTGTGGAGGTGATGATAAGACTGATGTATGCTTAACACGAATATTGGATAAGCATGCTCCACCAGTTTACCACTGTAGATGCAAGGATGAAAGTAGCATTGGGTGAATACTTTTGTGGATCTGTAAGTATATGTACAAAGGTAAAGAGACCTGATATCAGTGGAGGTCGCCAAGAAAGTGTATTCACAATTTGCAGCCATTCCCGTAGAACCTGCCTCTCCAGTGTTCCGGGTATCTTAAGTGGAACCGAATATGACTTACGTATTGAGTACAAACAGGGCAACCGCTGAATGAGTTATATCACTCATAGCTTCATAGTGGTGGTGTGTGTTCCTGTGACTAGAGTGAGTGAGTTAGTGAGTGTGGATTCTAGGACTTCAGTCCTGCTCCACAACGAAGTACATCTGGTCTCACCTTAGGCAAGTGAGTTTGTTCAAAATTGCCTCTGTTCACCCAGGAAAAAATGGGTATCCGGTTCGATACATCATGTCCTATAACCTTCTAGCGCCCCACAGGCAGCTTTGGTTATCCAGGGTAGTGATAATCAGCGCCGTGGAGCAGCGTATGTGGAAACTAGGCGCTATATTCTATTTCATTTTACAAGAAGTAGAAATATATGAAGTTTCGGATTCAAAAGGACACTCCAGCAAGCCTCGTAAAAATATTTTAACATATGAAGCTGCAGATTTTTTAAATGTATTTACTTCCATTCACATACAATATTGGTATAAACTCTGACTTGTTCCAATATATGATCAAAGAGTCTGTTCACCTCGGCTTGTCTGTCAGGTACTGTTCAGCAAGGACAACCAACTGCTCATCAGGTAGGTCCCGGAGAACGGATACAAGTCTGTTGAAGCATAAGTCGGACTTCTTCGAACCTGAAAACAGAACACAAGCTTCAGATTCAGATTCTCCCGGTATGCCAAACACCTCTAAAAATATCAGTCATTGCCGCCATGTGTATTCAGCAATGGGGTCATTCGTATGATTTAAAAGCTTTCATTTACAGGACAGGTTAGCGTTGGGTGTCCTGCATGAAACGTTCATAGTATCAACTCCTGATCATATCTACACGTAATAGTACCTTTATCTGGCTCGTTTCGCATGCAGGTGAGGTTCCCGTTCACATACTGCAGGTACTCCTCCACATTGACTGCTGGCTTCTTCCGCTTCACCTGAAACACGAGCATGCATGTACAACTGATATGGTGGGGGGTATGCTACATTGTACATTCGAATACGACTTTGCAGAATTCTTACCGTCCAATATGTATTCACAATTAAATACACATTAGCACATTCTTTGTACGTGTTTGGATCCGTGAAGGTCCGGGTTAGAATATTAACCTTCAGTAACCCATGCTTGTCGTCAGAGGCGACTAACGGGATCGGGTGGTCAGGCTGGCTGACTTGGTTGACACATGTCATCGGTTCCCGATTGCGCACATCGATGCTAATGCTGTTGATCTCTGGAGTGTGTGGTCCAGACTCGATTATTTACAGGCCGCCGCCATATAGCTGAAATATTGCCGAGTGCGGCGTAAAACTAAACTCACTCACCCACGTGTTTGGTTTTCTGTGTTCGCTATTCCTTATTACCGATTGGTTAATAGCGATTATTTACGACAAACTTCAGTTAATTCCAATGAAAATTATATTTTGTTAATGACACTTATATTACAAAATTAACCATTTCTTTAATAAACACTTTCTACCTGTACTCTCTTTTTCACGTGTAAAAGAATTACCCTGTTCCAGGTTAATTTTTTTATGGGTAGAATTGTTACTGTGTTCAACCATAAAGGTACGTAGTGGTAAGCCCTCACCAGGGTCATTGTAAGCTTAAAGGCTCTACCAATATCCTTGTGTAAACAATGCCTGTTTCATTAGTAAACACTATATTGTAGTGATAGTCGTATGTGTATGAATGCAGCATAAAGATAAACGTTTCAATGTATGTTTAAAATTATAACTATAAGTGATTTTTTTGGGTCAAAATGGTTACCTCTTTTATATGAATTGACGCCCGGGTGATATTTGTCTTTGGTCTTTTGGGAATTCCGACAACCTTGTGTTTAGTGAGGAACTCCATCTTTCCTGATCCTTGTGCTGACATCTCGGGTAATTCTGAAGACAGCAATAATGTAGACTGTCATATTTTACAGTTTGAGTTTTCTTCATGACTTCAAAACTTAAGATAATACAATAATAACACTGTCCTTTGAATGATAAATATATATAATTTCATGTCAACTGAATTTGAGTTTCGTAAGCGATTGTTTTGGAGAAAATCTGGTCATAATAGACATAGGTCTCATGTCAAAATAGACAGCCTTGCGTGTACAATCAACAGATCATATGCAATTGTATAGAAGCGTCCTTATTATATATTACTACAGTTAATGCCTCAAAATGCTCACCAATGTCCGTAAAGTTGTTGACTGCCTGCACAGGACGACTGTTTTCATACGGGTTGTATCTAGGTGAACATCACAAGTAAACCAATATAGTTTTCAATTGTACAAAATATAATGATTAACCAACGTGAAACACGGAGTGAACATGGCTCAGTTTGGTTTTACGCCACTTTTAGCAATATTCCAGCAACATCACGGCGGGGGACACCAGAAATGGACTTCACATATTGTGCCCATGTGGGGATTCGAACCCGGGTCTTCGGCGTGACGAGCCAACGCTTTAACCATTAGGCTACCCCACCGCCCCTGTGAACATGGATTTGAGCCGCTTTTACCACTATACTAATATAGCATTTACCAGTCCCTATATTTAATTGTGCTATAGTTAATGATCTGTGTCCCGCTCAATCACAATGTGGCCTTACATAAAACAAGACCGTCGCCGTGGTGTAGTCGTTAGAGCGTCCGCCCGGAGTGCGGAAGGTCGCGGGTTCGATCCCCGACCAAAAGACGTTAAAATATGGTACTTGTTGGTCCCTGCCTGGCGCTCGGCATTAATGGGTACATCAAGGACTGGTCGGCTCGGAGTCAGTATAATGTGACTGAGTGGGGTATTCATGCTTCACTGCGGCATGGTATCTCAGTGGGCTAGCACTATAAAACCATCTTAAGTCTGGGTTAGTACAAGCAGCCACACATACACATACACTCGCATGCACGTCGTCATATGAGCGAAATATTCTCAAGCACGACGTTAAACCCCGTATCACCTCACCTCACCCGGAGTGAACATGGATTTGAGCAGCTTTTACCACCATACTAATATAGCATTACTAGTATCCCACCGCCCCTATATTTAATTGTACTATAGTTAATGATCTGTGTCCCGCACAATCACAATGTGGCCTTACATAAAACAAACTACAGCAACCATGATGGTAATGAAGATGTTTGTCAAAGGAAATATTCTCACCCTTCTGCAGTCTTCTGGAGGACCTGGACCTTCTCCTTCACTTGAATGGTGTGCACCGTTCCTAGAGCAGTGTCGTAATACAATGTCTGAAAACAATAGTCATGACATTGGTATATAATCATGATCATAAACTCATACTCCCACAATCGTCAACAGAGATTCATAATGAGAGAATATATGGCGACCTTTGAGGAGCGACTGGGTACAGAAAGTCCGTGTTGTGACTAGGCCACATCAAAACATTTCTCACTGATATATTAACAGGGAAGTGAAAGAAAACACGGATAGTGGACAGCTTATTGATCAGTTGACGACATGTGATCAAATTGTGACGTAATGAACAATGGGTGACAGTTTCTTTCCAAAACAAATCAATGTGACGTCATGTAGGTACAATTACCAATCATCCCCGTATCCATGTATTTGTATTGTCTTGTGTTTTAGTTGCTTACACGACCACAGTGTCATTTCTAATATACATATATAAATGAAATGGTTTCGTTTTCTTTCGTTAAACTAAGTGATGTACTCGTCACTCTTCATCTCAGTATCTGCATAAACACGTGCAAATTGTGAATTGTGAGTGGGCAATAGAAAGAGTGAGTGAGTGAGTTTAGTTTTACGCCGCACTCAGCAATATCCCTGCTATATGGCGGCGGTCTGTAAATAGTCGAGTCTGGACCAGACAATCCAGTGATCAACAGCATGAGCATCGATCTGCGCAATCGGGAACCAATGACATGTGTCAATCAAGTCAGCGAAACTGACCACCCGATCCCGTTAGTCGCCTCTTACGACAAGCATAGTCGCCTTTTATGGCAAGCACATGGGTTGCTGAAGACCTATTCTACCCCGAACTTCACGGGTCGGCAATAGAAAGAACATAATAAAGCAACAGAGGATGAAAGTCAGTAGGCATTTGTTTTATGTGAACATGTGAAAAGTAACCACCTTGGTATAATCTGATGTCGCATGATTGACGGGGTGGTGACCCGGATGTCTCGTCTTGGTGAACACGTGACCTGTGTGAGTTGGCCGCACAGAGTAGGTAGCGTTGTGAGTACCTGGAACATGCAATGTAAAACAAACATACTGCTTAAGAAGTAATTTTGATTCTATTTCAGCAAAGTAAGAGCAATCGAAGAAGAGGATACAAAACAAATAGAAAATGTTAGCCAAAGAACCGTATAATATATATCGGCATATGGATTACGTGCATGTATATATGCATGTAATAACACTTATATAACTATAGCATTAAATTAAAAGCCTATGGTGTGCTTGAAGCAACATGTGTAACAGAATATGTATTGTACTATTGCTACATTCAATAACATATATACATGGCACTCTTGACTCTTCTGTCTATTGCACATGTGTGATTTACTGACACCAGCTACAGAATACACGTACAGAAAGATGGCTTGGACAACAGATAAAACGTGAAGACCTCCAAACTATTCACATCTTCGATGCACCACCCATGCTCAGCCTCCGCCCGTGGCAACCAACCCTTCCCTCATCCAACCATCCACGGCCTCAACACGTCTCAATTACCAATCCAACATTTCCTGAGCACCAACTCATCCACAACCAACAACCCATCCCAAACCACCAACCCATCCACAACCCCAACCTATCCCAAACCACCAACCCACCCACAACCAAAAACCTATCACAAACCACCAACCAATCCACAACCTATCCCAAACCACCAACCCATCCACAACCAACAACCCATCCCAAACCACCAACCCATCCACAACCCCAACCCATCACAAGCCACCAACCCATCTACAAACCCAACCCATCCCAAACCACCAACCCATCCAACAACCACAACCCCACCCATCCCAAACCACTAACCCATCAACAACCCCAACCTATCCCAAACCACCAACCCATCCACAACCCCAACCTAACCCAAACCACCAACCCACCCACAACCAACAACCTGTCCTAAACCACCAACCCATCAACAACCCCAACCTATCGCAAACCACCAACCCATCCACAACCCCAACCCATCCCAAACCACCAACCCGTCAACAACCCCAACCTATCCTAAACCACCAACCCATCCACCACCTCAACCCATCCCAAACCACCAACCCATCCACACCCTACCCTCGATCCTTACCCTCATTTCCAGTCTCTGTCACGTGATAACCCCATCCGTCGTCAGTCGCATAGACATGACCCTGAAAACAATCGAGAAACTCACATTTCATATGATTTGATGAAGATCTGGGTTCGATTCCCTACATGGTACAATGTGTCAAGCCGGTTTCTTGAGTCTCCCGCCGTGATAATGCTGGAATATTGCTAAAAGCGGCGCAGATCCTAACACACACACTCACTCACTTTAATGTCCTGAGCAATATCTCAACTATATCGCTGTGACCTATGAACATTCGACACAGGACAAGGCAAACGAGGGGTTGATTGCATGAAGACCGAGACACGATGCCGAGGCACAGTGCCACGCAATCACGTTTATCCACTTGATCTCCCTTAAGGCGCCCCTACTACCATAATGGGGAACGTGGAATCCCAATCGCAGTCTCGTATAAGTCTGGGAGACTAATAATCCCGATTTAACAAATGTTTCTGGTTAACTGTAATCCTTCCTGTAAATTCTGAGGCACTATGTTGGTCAGTTATTACCTCTGTGGCTTTGTGTAGACGAGACGCGAACATGGCGACGGCTCCTTTCTTCATGGCAACAGCTTCGTCGTCGTCGTCGGGAGGGTGGTAAACGTGGAGAATCTCGCCATGGGACGTGATCACAAACGAGAACCTGTGAGATACATGTTCAGTGTAGATAGTGATACTGAAACATACACAACTTAAAGGGACGACAGTTGAACCTTAACTACACCTACAAACAGATACGGACCCGTGAAGATCCGGGGTAGAATAGGCCTTCAGCAACCCATGTGCTTGCCATAAAAGGTGACTATGCTTGTCGTAAGAGGCGACTAACGGGATCGGGTGGTCAGTTTCGCTGACTTGGTTGACACATGTCATCGGTTCCAAATTGCGCAGATCGATGCTCATGCTGTTGATCACTGGATTGTCTGGTCCAGATTCGATTAATTACAGACCGCCGCCATATAGCAGGGATTTTGCTGAGTGCGGCGTAAAACTAAACTCACTCACTCACTCACAAACAGATACGACCTATTTATCAGTAATGACACCAGGTGATCCCGAACACGTAACATCTAAAGTTTCTACCTAGATTGGAATCAAGATCAGAACATGTAGCACAGCTGATCGTTATAATGACCAGGTGATCAATTGACTTTCACTCACTCACTCACTTACATCACCCATGCAGATCCGGGTTAAAATTGGTCTTCAGTAACTCATGCTTGTCGTAAGAGGCGACTTACGGGATCGGGTGGTCAGGCTCGCTAACTTGGTTGACACATCTCATCGTATCCCGATTGTGTATATAGATGCTCATGCTATTGATCACTGAATTGTCTGGTCCAGACTCGGTTATTGAGTGCGGCATTAAACAACACCTAACCAACCAACTTACAACGTCACTCGCTACATCTCTGCTCGTCATACTGTTACATTGTATTCAATATATCCCCCGGAAATATATTGAAATCACTCTCTTGGCTCCCCAGTACATAATGAATATTCTCCTCGTTCCCTTTACCACATCAATGACTATCAACGATAAAACATCTACACGTATGCATTCTCTTTCTTGGGGGATTTACCATTTCGAGAAGTCTAAACGGTAGCCGACGGCACCTGCAAATTAATGAGAAGGTATATTAGCAGATATTCTGTAGTAAGTATTGTATATAACACACATGGAGCAAAGTATCCGCAACACCAATGCTTTTTAAGCCTTGTTTAGTCATATCATAACTGGGCCGGTGGGGTAGACTAATTGTTAAAGTGTCCGCTCGTCACGCCGAAGATCCATTTCTGGTATCCCCCACCGTGAAACCGCTGGAATATTGATAAAATCTGCGTAAAACTATACTCACTCACTCACCCATATCATAATGAACAATGTTTGATTGTTTGATTATTGTGACCCTTCGGGGTCACCATACATGTGTCATTAAGCAATTAATATCAAGTTTCAGAAAAGTGTTCTTACAGCAGAATAACTTGGAAAATCAATTGATTTCGTTGTGCTAAAGCAAAACTGGGGTCTTTTCAAATGAAAACTGCTCAAAGATGGCAAGTTATTACAATGTGGAACTTGCTTGTCTTTGAGAGCTAGTTCAAGACATGTTTGTTGTATTCCATCGGCAATCAGCAAAATCGACAGAATACGTGACTTTAAGGTCCGTCAGCGTTCAGGTCGATTTGACAACTTGGGAGGACACAGTTCTATATGTTAAGTGGTGTGTGAATTTTCTTTCACATCGTTGTTTGACCAAAAGAACGGTCCGAAATCGCTTAAAATCGGCCGGAGCCAGACGACCTATCGGATGTCCGTTGTTATCTCCAGAGCGGGGTGTGGTGTAGCGTAGTGGTTAAAGCGTTCGCGCGTCACGCCAAGGAAGCGGGTTCGATTCCTCACATGGGTACAATGTGTAAAACCCATTTCTGGTGTCCCCCGCCGTGATATTGCTGGAATATTGCTAAAACTTCACTCACTCACTATCTCTAGAGCACAAAGCAGTACTACCAGCTTGGTGCCAATTTGGTGAATTTTGACATCACGGGGAATGGGCCAATGGTCGGACGAATGTCATATCCTTTTGTCCATGCCTGATGGCCGAGGTCGTGTTTGGCGCCCTTTCTGCACAATGAAAGAACTTGATGTAGGTAATGTTTGGCGTGGGTTCATTGACCCTGTGGGAATTCCTCTCACACGACTGTACACTTGACCTAGTGACGATCCGACAATATGTGAATGGACAACGGTACACTTACAAGGTTGCTGTCCAACACTTCCAGCAACATCCTCTGAAGAAAATGCCAGTCGTCTTCATGACGGACAATGATCGGCTACATCGTGTACGCGTTATGAGTGGTAGTCTACCTTTGCGCGTCAGTAGTCCAGATGTCAATCCCATAGAGCATGTTTGGGACATAATAGGTCGCAGAAAACGCCAGTAAGAGCCTCCACCACAAATTCTTTATCTATTGGAACAAACCCTCTATCAAGAATGGGACGCTATACCCCAACGTCAGATTCAACGTCTGATACGTCAATGAGGAGGAAGGACCAGGGATGTTATTGAAGATGGCGGTTACCACATTGTTATGAGAGTGTGTTTTTTGTAATTTGTAATATCACATTGATTAAGTGATAGTTATTATTTAAAGTTTTGAGTGTGGGTTGTGGCTCACATCTCGCATATCATATATGTTCAATGGCAATATTATTTTAGCGGCACGCCTTTTTGATAGCACTTAGAGTTGCCTCCCTTGGCAATCTTGTTTATTTAAGGCTTTCATCATGCAGTGTGTTCCACATGATTCGATAACATTCTGAGAGAATAATGTGGGAACCTAGCTTTGCTGTAATACTTGAGAACTGTGTAAGAGCTATATACAGGCTGGTTGTTGAGTTGCGCTACACACAGACTTATCACATCACTGAAGTTATACACACATGTGTCTGCCATCATCTCAAGAGCGATCGTGCTTACCTGTTCAACTGTTGTCATTGCAAACAACCTTCAGTCAGTATAACTGTTCTCGCTGTAAATGTCAAGACTCTGGTGAGTTATTATATTTGTGACCCAATTTTTTAGATTTGTGACTCAATTGCATTGTACTAGAAATCTGTATTGACATTCATTGTAGTTTGCTCATTGTTTATTCAATATATTATTGAATATTTTAGACTTGTGTTCTATTTTGCTGGTTCAAATGGGACTTTTAAACCTTTCGTCACGGCAATTTATTAGGGCTGCGCAATATAACCGGTTTACCGGTATTTACCGGTTCAGACATGAAAACGATACGTATTGCGATACACTGATCGAAAACCGGTATTTTGACTTGCATTCGCAAAACGTCGTAACACTCGGAAATGTTCGGCTATTTCCTTGTTTCATTTGTGCCAAATATTATTCACATTTTTATTTTATCATGATTAAAATTTGTTATTAAAGCTTAATCAAGCATAGTGATTTTGTTGTGTTTTTGCTCAATGAATCAATCAGTAACTCGATTATAGTAGTTTTTTTTTGTTTAGAAATACTTCATGCAATATATTGCAATACATATCGCAATACATGCTTTCACATCGCAATATATCGCAATATGAATATTCTCTGCAATACCCACCCCTACAATTTATTAACCGTAGCAACATATACATGTACTGAAACTGTGCGCGGTTATTGATACTTTTGTGATTTCAAGTTGATTTTATGCCAGAATTTTGAAAATGTTTACGTCATACATTCAAAGTGAGTCCATGCTTTGCCATGTTTGCTTCTCTGAATAAAATACAGTTTTTCGTTCTTTTTCGAAACGACTTGCCGTTAAATTATTTTTTAAGGGTCTGGTTATCCAGGTAGTAAATTAAACAGATGTTTGGATGCGTTCCTTTGCTGTTTTTTAATGACAACACATTGGCATTGGGTGCTGCGAAAATAGCATGATAATAAGAACAAGTGACAAAACCCTTTCAATAATCATAAGATTTGGCTATCATAAGCAAGTGTGTATTATTCCTTATTTTGTTCAGGTAAAACTTGCCTTGCCTTTGCATGTGTTTGAAACAGGTTCAACCTCAGGGACAGGAATCGACTAGCAATATTATTGGATAACGTTATTAAATTCGTTGTTATGGTTTAGCATGTGATACGCAAAATGTTGTGCAGTGCGTTATGTCCCCATTGCAGGTATGACATGCCCAACCTTTTAAGTGTGATTTAAAACACTTTGTTCATCGAAGGCAGTGTCATTTGTGGGTCACCACTGTGGTTTATTAAAGGTATAATTTCTTGCTTTACGACATGTCATTAATCTTGTTTATTTTACCATAAATTACTTGTTTTTCTCAAATAGCACGTCCGGTCCACCTCACAGCCATTACAAAATAACACTGAACATTTACAATTACTAGATATTCGGCGTGTTGAAACGTTGGTGACTGTCAATTTCACCAGTGTCAGCTACAAACTATGACAAGAAGGAGTTCTTTCACCAACGTGCTCACGATCATACCTTCATTCTGTCTAGTTTGTTGTGTGTTCGCACAAAATGGAAATGTACTTTGAAGAACGACATAAATTAGGCCTTGAACCCGAGGACCCTGGGTTTTCTGAGATAAGGGAGACAACGGTAGTAGTAGTAGTAGTAGTAGTAGTAGTAGTAGTAGTAGTAGTAATAGTAGTAGTTGCTGTGTTAGTGTTAATGGCAGGAGTAGGAACACTTACGTCTTGTTTCCTTGGTCTTCAGATCCAGAGCATAAACCTTCACATAGACCTCTTGTCCTCCCTCGCTGTCGCCCACGTTGATGTAGCCGACCTGAATGAGAGACGTACATGATGATGTACCGGAGTATAGTGTTCAATCGCATGTACAGCGACTCTTACAGCCACTGCTCTGATCATGTGTGAAGGGACACGAAAATGGGGGAAAAAAACTAAAAACACACCCCTAATTAGGGCAATTATTATTTCAGAGAAAAAGTATGGTTTTAACATTTTGCAATAAGTCAGTAACATCAGAACAGCGTTGGAGACGCGAGGGTCTGCTTACGCGAGGGTATGGATACAAGAGGGAGAATGTAGTTACACGTGGGTAGTTGATAGGGTGTAGTTACAAGGAACTGTGGTTACACGAGGATATAGATACAAGATGACGCGGGTACACCAGGGTGTTGTTTCCGATATCGAGGATATGTTAGGGTGTTTATACACAAAAGTGTGAATACAAGAGGGTTTTGATTGACGAGGATTCTACACCATGAAGGAAGTAGACATAAACAGGGACAATTCTCCAAGGTCATGTTACTCATGTATATGTTTCAAGCCTGAATCTGGAGGCTGTATATTATCATAGCCCCTGTTAACGTAGCTAGGGCACACATACGCTGTTGATCTGGTATCCATCATACCAGACAGATATTGGAGATCTATAATAAAACTTGATAGGGTTGTAAATCTGCCCATACCTAGCTGTCTACCTGACATCATACCAACAATAAATCACATTTGCTACTAAACCGTGCGAGTTTAAAGGCAATAGCACGTGGATCTCACCGACTAACATATGAAATATACACATTTGTTTGCACATAACTCGTGCCTAGTTTAGCATGCACACTGAGTGTTTGTTGTGAATCAACATTACATGTTGTTAAACACTGCGGCTTACTTAATCTTTGTATAAGGTCATATACATAGCATTTTAGCACAATTTGTTTTCTATTTCCACCGCCCTATTACCATCCAACTATACAGACAACGTTAGTTATTGTGTGAGTTACTTGATGGTATCTTAGGCTATTCTCTGGCAGGGAGAAATACATTCTTTTGAATAATCCACATGTGTAGGCCGAGTATAATTATGCTATTAGTTGTTCCTAAACGCCACACGAAAATGACCATGCAATATCGAGCGGGTTATAAAATAATCGAGTCTTGACCAAACTCATCTGTGACTAATCTCTGACAACACTGACTTTGTAAGCGTACGAGGGGCGGTGGGGGTAGCCTAATGGTTAAAGCGTTCGCTCGTTACACTGAAGACCCGGGTTCGATTCCCTACATGGGTACAATGTGTGAAGCCCATTAAACCACCATTAAACCATTAAACCACATGCCACCTCATCACCCTTGCTCCGCTACTGATTGTTGTAGCCAATTTCTGGTATCCCCCGCCGTGATATGGCTGGAATATTGCTATGAGCGGCGTAAAACTATAATCACTGGCTTCTGACATTGTACCCCTGTGGGGAATCGAACTCTTCGGCAGTCCCTCTACTCTCTATCAAAGAGTTGATTCTTGAATGGCGGGGAACCCTGGATGTGTACTTTGCACGTTGTACATATCGATGTTGGAATCGAACCCAGGTCTTTAGCAATACGTACTAATGTTTCATCACTGGGCCATCTTCATGACGTTTTGTTTGCTTTGGTCGCGATTCTTGTGTACCAAGTCCCTACATTAACATACAATACAATCGCGTTCATTCTGGTTCAATTACTGACTGACTGAGTTTTAGTTTTACGCCGCTTTTAGCAATATTCCAGCAACATCACGGCCGGGGACACCAGAAATGGGCTTCACACATTGTACCCATGTGGGGATTCGAACCTGGGTCCTCGGCGTGACGAGCCAACGCTTTAGCCACTATGCTACCCCACCGCCCTCTGGTTCAATTAACTCGAGATATCCTTTAAGACTATGTGACACTTTGGATCCCAAGACATGCATGTCGATGGGATGGTCTTTATGGACTCCCATTTTGGTTCAATGTACGATAAACGTTAAGTACAACCCTTGAAGTTACACAGGCGCCGTTGTGGTCGTCTTATCCAACATGAACTGTACGATTAACAAAATGTCATCGTTTCATTCCAATAGATGAAATTTCGAACATACAACACTCATATAAGGTGGATGGGTGGGTGAGTTTAGTTTGACGCAGCTTTTAGCAATAATAGGACGGCCGGGTACACCAGAAATGGGCTTCACACATTGTACCCATGTTGGGAATCGAACCCGGGTCTTCGGCGTGAGGAGCGAACGCTTTAACCACTAGGCTCCCCCACCGCCCCTCATATAAGGGAACACAGTCGTGTTGTATGTGATTAGTCTTTTACAGCTTTTGCAAAGTAGTATGTCATGAGGGTGGCCACTTTCCTGCCCACAGCGTTTTATAACATTTGTATGAGGATCGCTGACGCGCGTCCGTCATTATCGTCAAATCGATAAGACAAAGGTAATCACCCTTCCACAGAAATGGGAAATTGGATGTCACAGGACGACTTCCAGAGTAAAATGAAAATTAGAATCTGCGTCCTATTGTCCCCAGATAATCGAATCTTACATGTGGCAATAGCAAGTGCGTGCTTATCACGCTTTGCCTGGCACTCTGAATGAGTTGGTAAATATATCACGCTCGTGATCTGCAGTGCCATTGTATGGCTTGTCATGCTCCACAAAGCTAATGTGAATGTCTAATGCAGGTAGGTATGTCTGCAGTTCTGGTAATCTGTGATCGTTTCGTGGAACCTGGTATCCTAGACCAGGAAGGTGAGATCTAAAATGGCCGGATACGTTGTTCTTAATAGACTCGTGGCCTTCTTATAAGTACCTTGGAATTAAAATACAAAAATTAATACATTCACTTTAATAAAGGAGAACCAAGGCCACCCAAACTATGCATTTTGTTTTAAGCAAAGGTAGATTACGTAATTTGCCTTGTGATTATTCGATTGCTTGGTTGCAACTGTTCTTTATGGGTGTGAATTATGGGGTTTTGGTAATAATTCTTGGGTAGAAAATATTTATTTAATATTTCTGTAGGAACTCCTCTTTTTGAGAAAAAGTATCCCCTCATTCATGGTTTATGTGGAACTGGGGAGATATCCGCTGGAATTGAAATTAGATCACGAATTTTACTCTTTTGGGGAAAACTCATTTCAGGAAAGGCTTCTAAATTTTCTCCTAGTTTATAAATTACTCTATTATGATACAGCTTGTAACACATCTGGCTATAAAGGGATTGCCTGTATTAAGGATACTTTTGACAAAATTGGAATGAGCTATATTTGGGCTATACAGGCATGTCCTAATAGTCTTAAAGCACTTGTTGTAAACAGACTGAAAGAATTCAATCTATAGACCTGGATATCAAACACAGACAAATCTTCAAGAAGAGCTATTCATAATATTTTAAAACAATATGAACTGAAATATGAAACCGATCTGAATTATTACATTATAGTATTCGGAGGGCGTTACCTAATTTCAGAACTTCAAACCATTATCTACCAGTTGAAACAGGAGGATTTGATTGAAACACCCCCAAATGAAAGATTGTGTAGTCTCTGTAATGTAAAAACGATATTGGAGATGAATTTCATTTTTTGTTTATTTGCCCTACCGTGGCCACGGAAAGGAAAACAAATATATATATATCAACACTTATTTCTGTAGAAACCCGAATATTCACAAAATGAACCAGCTTTTTCACTGTAACAGACTAGGTAGAATTAGCAAATTAGCAATATTTTGCAAAATAATAATGTCTCATTTAAGCAACGCCCCAACAAAAGATAACCAATAACGCATGAGCGTAACATTGTTCATTTAACTAGTTAAATGTATGTACAGACATACACTTTAAGTTGTACATAATGATGTAAACTTGTACGTCTAATGCCGCAGAACGCGTATAAATAAAGTTCAGTTATCGTCAAATCGATAAGACAAAGGTAATCACCTTGCCACACAAATGTGAAATTGGATGTCACAGGACAACTTCAAAAGTAAATGGAAATTAGAAGTCAGAATCTACGTCCTATTGTCCCCAGATAATCGAATCTTTCAGGTGACAATAGACTAATGCTTAGACCCTGAATGTATATAATATTGATAGTAACAAATAAACCCTTTTAAATTGAAAAGGAGCCCCAGTGAGTTGGGGGATTCGGGCACCTGGGGAAATCTAGACTGGCTTCATTTAATGCCTTAGCATTGCAAGGAGGGCTTGGCAATAGGGAAAATAATGTGGTTCAGGGACTGTTAGACAGACTAAGCTGACAATTGCAATTGCGTGCTTATCACGCTTCGCCAGGCACTCTGAATGAGTTAGTAAATATATCACTCTCGTTTTCTGTAGCGCTATTGTAGGACTTGTCATGCTCCATAAAGCTAATGTTGATGTGTAATGTAGGTATGTCTGCAGTTCTGGTAATCTGCCATCGCTTCTTGGAACCTGGTCTCCTCGATCAGGAAGGTGTAAATGAAAACAGATCTAAAATGACCGGGTGCATTGCTCTCAATAGACTCGTGTCCACGGTGTCGGGGGATTAGTTGGGTCATGTAGGTTTAGGTCAAGGTCATTTGGGTAGCGTGTAGGTGTTGAAATCGTATCAATATGATGTGTCCACCACTGTACAATGCCGATGTGGTAGTCGACATGCACTGTGAAGATGTATGACTTCAAACTGGGTTATCGGTATGCTTTTATGTTATTACACCCTCAGGTGTCGGTATTTTTTAGTGTTTTCCATCCTCAGAGCATCCTGAATTTTCAGTTTCATTCAATAATAAATAAAGTATTTTCAGTTTCCCCCGCATTGTGGACATCTATGCTCTGGTGTGAAAAGAAAAACCAACTACAACTCAAATACATGTATATAAACATGTTTCCGAAGTCCACGATCTTATTTATCACTTCATGGGGCAGTGGGGTAGCCTAGTTGTTAAAGCGTTCGCTCGTCACACAGTACACATTGGTACAAAGTGTGAAGCCCATTTCTGGTGTCCCCCACTGTGATATTGCTGGAATATTGCTGAAAGCGGCGTAAACCAAACTCACTCACTTGGTTGGTCGAGGCTGGTAGTGAGAAACGCATAAAAACATACGGATAGCCTCAAAGTACCTGCCAAACCATCATCCCTACAATGTAGTGAATCAACTCACCTGGTTGTTGAAAGTAGTTAACAAGTATTTGAAATTTCTGAATGGTGCAGCTCAGTCACTTTGAGTATTCGTCATATTCTTTCATTATTCTTTGACTATTCAATACTGATCAACACATTTACATTCTTATTGATATCACATTCATAATTATTTAGTTAATACTGATACTAGCATTACTTCTATAGTTTTTCAGGGATATTCCAGCCCGTAGTGCAAGTAAACGTGCCAGCAAGTCGTATATGAAGTGGAGAGGCGATATCGACCATCGTGGGGGTTAACTCCCATGTGACAGACACCCAATTGACAGACACTGAACTAGAAGGTTAATTAGGGTTACACCTATGGGTATAATGGAACAGTCCACTGTCTAGTGAGTAGAGCAGGGTGACCCTGAAACAGGTTCGTAATTGAGAAGTTTGATTGTAGGTAAATAGAAATTTGTTGTGTTTAAATGCTAAATGATTTCTCTTCTCAAAATTGTTTTTACTATTAATTACTATCGAATATAAAACAGGTTTGTCACTGAGAGGTTTGATTGTGTTTATTGATAGAAAGGTCCCCTCCCAATAATAGCATATGTACAACAGACGTTAACTGAGAAAACGTTTTGTTACAGAGATATAGATATGTACATATTTGAAAACATTCTGATTTGCAGTAAATGAGACACCTGCATTGCCATGTAAGATACGATTAATACCTATCAGTGTTCTAATTTTAACAATAGTTTCTAAAGATTGTAACAGTTTATGTCTTTGAGTAGTGTACAATGGACATTGAAGGAAGTGATGAAAACCATTCTCACATCCATGGCCACATTGACATGATGTGTCATATTTGAAATATTCATTCTGAATAAATCGTAATTAAGTGCACTCGTCATATATCTTAATATTGTGTGCAAAACATACATCTCATTCATGCCATATGAATAATATTTAGGTTTTTACATTTGTCTTTATTTGATTTATATGATACAACAGTGTCGCGATTTCTAATAGCTAAGCTAATGTTTTCAATATGATGATGCCGACTCCCGTTAGACTAGAAGGTTAAACCGAAATGTTTATGAAAATAAACTGTTTTTATATTGCAGCAATAAATGTTCAAATTACTGCCTTTTCGTCCATCTTTCAAAATAAATAATATAGCTTCAGGTTGTTCCTGTGTTTTTATTTGGACTATTCCATTATAATGTGTAGGTAACAGGTAGTAGATAATCTGTTCACTGAACCGTAAATGTTGTTTGTTTAGGGTGTCTGCGAACTGGCTGTCTGCGTAATGGGAGGACACCTCGTAAATAACACGAACAGGATATAAATTCTTCTTTACATATACCCCATAAGACGCAAGTTGTACACAATTGAATTAGGTATAGCGGTTAAGCCTCCTTGCACCCAGTCAAGGCTATGTTGTGCAGTCTCTGTGCCAACACACTATACACAGAACACTGCTAATATGAGAGTAACTGTGAACCAAATGCAGGTGTCAAGTCAGTAGGTACGAAATGAACTAAGGCCTTATGATATTTGGATATAATATCTTATACGACTCATTATTCCCTTGGAGAATGTACAACATACTACGGTTATAACGAACTCAAGGGGGGCACTATCTTAGTTCGTAATAACCATAGTTACTGATACTTATTTCGACTAAAATATAAAACAAGTGGCCGGGAAAAAAAAGTTCGTTTTATCCCTCAGTTCGATAAAAGCATGTTCGATACAAACGTAGTTTTTTTGTTTATCTGGAATCCAAACGGAGGCGAATGAGGCGAATGAGTGAGTGAGTGAGTGAGTGAGTAAGTGAGTGAGTGAGTGAGGCGTATGGTAATCCGTCCAGACAAGCCATGGGGCTAGGAAAAGGGCAATCAATGATATCCTTCACACAGTGTAGGTCGAAATTGATCTTTGAGTTTAAGGGTGACATTGCTAAGACAATTGTTGGCTTTGATGTACAGAACCGATTTCCTAATATCCTGATCAAATGAAAGTGAGGGTCAGTGGGGTAGTCCAGCGGTTAACGCACTCGCTCGAAGACTGCTTGGGGTTGGGGATGCACAGTTCATTTTCACCATTTTTCACGAGAGTTTCATTGGTCATTTAATAAACTATCAGGACAAAAGGGGTGGGGGTGCGCACCCCCTCTTGATCCGCCTATGCTGGTCTAGCCTTCCGACAACCCACAAAGACGTGATGGTAATAATAACTTGACAGTACGAAATAAAGAAACCCAGATACTTTTGTCGTACTTTTATGTATCTCTATGCAATATATCTGATTATTTAAATTCTAATGAGCTTTTCAAGACATGTCGGGGGACGGTAGAGAGGGTTATGTTTATTTACACTATTGGGACTTTAAATTCAATACGAATCAACCGGAAATTCGACAAAGCCAGTTCCGGTTCAAATTAGTGGTAAACGTAGTTATAGTTTCTCGGAGTTCGACGCATCAGAGTTCGAGAAATCCCCCTCCATCGTACCCAGTCCCACTCTTCAGAACAGAGTTAGTGAGTGAGTGTTCGAACATTCCTAGTAAGTCTGATCCAGTTACATCACGCCGACCTGGAGTCTCAGCCAATCAAAACAGTGAATGATAATATACACTTAGATGTAATCGACACATGCCGTCAGAACATGATATCACGTGATCTCATGATGTCGGCTCTTAGGTATTACGCATTAGATATTTGGGACCAAACCTTAAGTGAAAGATTCTGGCTTAGACGGTTCTTAAATCATCAGCGTTTACTTGTTCAGTAACGTCTAAGCAGGTCTACGCTAAAGGATCATTTATGCAAATATTAACACTATTTGTTCAATCCTCTTATCCACTAGGGTATATCTTCCCACCCTTCCACTCTCTCTGTGCATGTATATATCGATATCTTCTTAGAAATGCAGTACCCTACTCAAGCTTTCCTGGAAAACCCTTTCCATTACAGCTAAGCAATCATGCATATTCATGACAGACACAGTTTTGAGCTTATACTCTCTGGGGGTAGGATCCACGGTATGGTATAATCAGATGAAAGAGGGTATTCAGTTCTCTGTGCATGTATATATCGATATCTTCTTAGAAATGCAGTACCTTACTCAAGCTTTCCTGGAAAACCCTTTCCATTACAGCTAAGCAATCATGCATATTCATGACAGACACAGTTTTGAGCTAATACTCTCTTGGGGTAGGATCCACGGAATGGTATAATCAGATGAAAGAGGGTATTAAGTTCACGGTTGTTCTCTAAAGGCCAGGGTGCTGTGCTACACGTCGGGGCCGGTTCTAGTCTCTGTACGTCCCGCCATGGAAATTAAGATAGTGTGGGTCGCCAGTGATCACCATGATAACTGTATTGGTTTACCAACCCAGTGGGTCCAATAGCGTGTCTCATTATAAGGTCTGGCGAAGTGATAAAATGAAACTGACGTTCTGGGGTAAAATTGTTTCAATGCTTTCATCATACACACATAACTCATGCTCACATATTGCTGTTAGTAAGTATTATCTGCCGTGCAGGTCTATTATGCTGCTATGTTATACACTGAAGATATGTTTTCATCAGATTTGTTTCACTTTTGCCTTGTAACCGATTCCGCAGTAACTTATTCATTTCACACTGTTCAGGTATATTGTTTATGTTTGTCGATTAAGTCGAGTCAATGACATGTAAACAGAAAAAATGATTAACCTTTCCAGTGAACACATACTAAAATACTGAATCATGGATACATGATATACCTTTTGACACAAAGATGAGGATTTATCAGTCTTGTGCATCCCTTCAGACGCTTTCTGGGGTGGTCGCGTAGCCTAGTGGTTAAAGCGTTCGCTTGTCATGCCGAAGACCCGGGCTCGAGTCCCCACATGGGTACAAACTGTGAAGCCAATTACTGGTGTCCCCCGCCGTGATATTGCTGGAATATTGCTTGACGCGGCACAAAACCATTTCCACTCACTCACTCACTCAGACAGACGCATTCCCCTATTTCTTGCTGTGAGTATATGTTGAAACTGTCGAGTAGAGAGGTGCATAAGCAGAATAGAAATACAATAAGACCGAACAACTCACCTTGGCTAATACTTGAAAATCTCCAACATTTGTCAAATTTGCGTTGGAATCATACTTGTACTGGTACTCAAATCCCGGTTCAAAGTTAATAAAATTTGAAGAAACACATGTCAGTATAACAAATATTCCACAAATTGCAGGAAAATGATCTCGCGGCATTTTGAAAATCTTTTCTCTAGAATTGTTGCACGGCCTTCTTCCTAAGTGAGGCCGCACATGACTGAACTAAGCTGCTGGTCAGTTGTACGGGTTCCATGAACCGCGGTTTGATTGGGCAGGTGAACCAGGAAGTTGATAAATATAGTTGTGACGAGTTTCATCAAGGTGACTTATATCTTGTAAAGCCTCATTACTAACGATTGAGAAAAGCGAGTGATATCAGTTTGAACATGTTGCCTTTCGCCTCAGTGATTTCATCCACAGAGACGTTCAATTGAAGTTTGAATGGATGAGTTTGACATAACCTACATACAGATCCACATAATATGGTCGTGAATATTTAATTTGAATCGAGATTAACAGACACAGAATGCGGCTAATTGTATTGACATTATGAAGAATGAAACGTACGTGGAATTCACAAAAACCCAGTAGATTCCTTTTTCACGTAAATGAGTAATCGTATTCTGTTCACATTGCTGAACTACGTGCGCATACAAGGGTTAGCTGTAAACATGAGTGGTGACGGTTGAAAGGGGCAGTTTAACTCGGTCATTGTGACAGAGGTACTGACGCAAGGCGCCTCATGGTTTGTTGTGTTGGCTTCAAAGTTGCGTCGCTCAGAGGCAGCTATTGGATTTAGGGTTAAGGTGGTAACCCTACAGCTTCCATAAACACATTGAAACAGGGTTTTGTACAGGTAAATTATGTCAGTTCAAACAAAACTATGAAAACCGTCATTCACAAGGGTCCCAGTGGCGGATTCCCCCTCCCCCCCCTCTCCCCCGATTTATTTTCCCTGAGGAACATACCCCCTAGAACTTCATGACTTATGTGCACCCCTCTTTTGAAAATCCTAGATCCCACTCTGGGGGTGTACGAGTCCCACATGGGTGCAGCGTGGAGCGCATTTCTAGTGTCCTATATTACTCAAAGCGGCGTAAAGCTAACCTCACTCACTCATAAATCACTATAATAGGTGTCGTACATGTAGTAAATAGACCAGTAGCAGCATAGGTCCAGGGTTACGTGGGGGTCACTAAGCGATTAAGCCAGTTGCCTGGGTCTCGTTCAGTCCATTCTTAACGCCACTCGCCCTTTAACCTGAATTACCCCGACACTCACACATAACCAGGTCAGTCTATGTGTAACTGTATACTGTTAAGTAGTGGTTAATATATATTACGAATACTCCCGTGTGGACTGGGCTCAGTCTTTACAAAATACCAGTCATATACATTCGTCAATTTGTATATAACTAATCAACCTTAATCTTTAACATTGGGCTTATATTTCATATCTCTGGGGATATTTTAGTCTGACTGTTTTTTGGTCATTCATATTTTTTTCAGCGAATTCATTTAAAATTCCACCAGGGGTGTGACAGCAAGGTTACACGAATGTTCAGTTTGAGAAATATTTTATAGTCATTTTTGAGTATCTGCTTTGGGATTTAATGTAGCTGAATTTTGTTTATTTTTATTTGTATATTCAATAAAACAATTCCCATTTGTGATGATTAAACCCTATTAAGAACCCTATTAATTAACATAATTGGAAATATATGGTGAACAGCTGGTAATAAATACATTAGAATATGTCTTTAACAAATATGTTTTTCTCCTTCTTCTAGTTGTATCAAAGAGGTTTAATTCTTTAAAATAAATAAGTGGAAAAAAACAAATACAACAACCTAGTAATACAATGTACATGTGCTTCGGTGATTTTTAGAAACATCGGAATCAAACAGGGATAGAGTTATCGTTCTTGTTTAAAGTAGTTCTGATGTTCATGCGCCAATATGAAATCCTTCCAGAGGGGCACGAGTCGCTATTCGGCTTGTCCGGGAATAACACGAGTTGGTCACGAATGCTCAAGGACAATATATTGGTCATTCGTCGCCACTCGCCTCTTTCCGTAACCTCCAAGAAGACTCGTCCCCCTTTCGATGCTTGTTATGTGCGAAAATACGACAAACCAATCAGAACACGCGCAAATGACTGCGGTGCTTTGATAAAAATAATCCCGAGTACTTAAATCGTTTATGGCATTATGTCGTTGTTTGAAAAATCATAAAAATATATATATCGTCATATTGAAAGTACAAAGAACGTAGCTAACAGGATTTTGCTGCCTATTATGAAGTTTTTGATAGGAATCATGCGATTGGCGGTGAGAGATTCAAATACAAGCACGTGCGTTTGTTGACATAACGGCTCTCATGGGTCCAACTGACGATCTTGCGGGCTTGCTATGGAGATTGAAGTACGCTTCCAACAATTTTAGGAAATGTAATTATTAATCGCTACGAGTTTCAAAACAATAATATTAGACATATATCTGCATGTAACTAATCAGCTACTTTCATCTTTAACACTGGGCATATATTTCACATCTCTTGGAATATTTTAGTCTGACTTTTTTTGGGGTCATTCATATATTTTTCAGCGATATCATTTAAAATTGCACTTGGGGTATGACAACAAGGTTACACGAATGTTCAGTTTGAGAAATATTTTATAGTCATTTTTGAGTTTCTGTTTTGGAATTAAATGTTGCTTTTATAAATGTTATTTACATAATTAATAAAACAAATCCTGTTTGTGATTATCAAACCCTATTTAAAAATATAATTGGAAATATAAGGTGAACCTATGGTAATAATAACGTCAGAATACGTCTGTAACAAATAAGTTGTTCTCCTTTTAGTTGTATCAAGAAGGTTTAATTCTTTAAAACCATAAACAGCAATACAATGTATGATTACTTCGGTGATATTATAAGTATCATTGGAATCAAACAAGAATAGAGTTATCGTTCCTGTTTAAAGTAGTTCTGATGTTCATGCGCCAATATGAAAATCCTTCCAGAGGGGCACGAGTCGCTATTCGGCTTTGTCCCGGAAAAACACGAGTTGGTCACGAATGGGCTTCGTTTTGAGGATACGTATTTACTGATTGAGTTCTATAATTGTACGAGAATATGAACACATGTATCAAAGAAATGGTGATCTAGTGATCTGGTCCTGTGCACTCACTATTCGTGTGTGCCTGTATTTAAGCCTGCAGTTAAATATATGGAGAATACTAAACGATGTCCCGTGTAATACCATATTTATGAAACTCGTGAATGGTTTGGTATGTAACGAGCGAAAGCGAGTTAGATACCAAATCCATTCACGAGTTTCATTAATATGGTATTACGCGGGACATAGTTTAGTATTTTATTTATTACTCACCCAACATTAGCAAAATAATATCGAGCAAAGTACTTCTTTGCTAAGAATTCAACGAGTGTGATGACTCTCAGCTTTCCGCGAGTCAAGCAAGGCCTAATACTATTGTGACAGAGGTATTAGCATTGTGACGTCATAATCTGTAAATCACTTTGACGTCATACGTACGGCACCACGTGATGTTATTACACAATGTGTAATAACATTGTAAAATTATTAAACAGTGCTATCTTCAACGGGTGAGTAATAAATAAGATTATTATATAGGTAGTATTTTTCCTGTACCACGATTGGTCAAAATACCGTCACATGATTGACTACAAAACACGATATTGACTTGAGTTTTCTGATAAATTACGATATTGACTTGGGTTACTAAAAATAGACAAGGAATCCCGTACGAAGGGGCTTCCCCCGCTTTTCAGCCAATCAGATCACTCGGATAGATGGCACAATATGAGCATTAAAAGTTTGTTAAAACCTGTTTCTCTTGCATTATATAATAAAACAATTATAGACTCTTGTAGAGGTCGATATCAGTTTTTGTTGACCTGAGAAAAACAATCGCAAGCTCGGTCGATATTGTTTTACTCAGGTCAATAAAAAACCTATATCGACCTCTACAAGAGTCTATAATTGTATATTGTTACGATCAACACTTGTGACATGTTTAATATACTTAATTTATTGGATAACCATGCCGTTGATGTAAATCCTGTCAGAGGCCTAGGCTATTGCGTAATATATGTGAGTGAGTTTAGTTTTACGCTGCTTTTAGCAATATTCCAGCAAAATCACGGCGGGGCACACCAGAAATGGGCTTCACACATTGTACCCATGTAGGGACTCGAACCCGGGTCTTCGGCGTGACGAGCGAACGCTTTATCCACTAGGCTACCCCACCTTCCCGGAAATTAATGAAATATTCTGGCAGAGTAAAACTGGACGCGTGAAACATCAATAACCATTCAAACATAAAATCAAAACCAAGGCAAATTGCCAGGTAAGTATTTTTGTTATGCTGTTTCAATATACATGTACGGGGGGTATAATTCACAACAACAATAAACAACAGACCAACTCTAGAAAAAATAAATAATTTGTGTCACAAAAATAAAAAAGTTGTTTAAGAAACTGTCATCATTTATTTGTGCGTTTTCCAAGTTTGTTACAAGGGTGCATTGGCAACTAAAGGAACAGCGCGAAAAGCGAGATGCACGTGCGTTAACGGGTTCTCAACAAACTTTTGAGCTGACGAGATGACACGTGCCCCAGCTGCACAGGCAGTGCGCTGTATGTACTCAGTAATTGCATACTTGGGTCATCCCCTGTCATTTTCATCCTTGAAAAATTATAGACTTTGTAAATTATAGACTTTCATTTTCTCTCACTTTGTCAATCAGCAGTAATCACATGTCTCTGACGTCACTAATGCACATGCATCTCGCTTTTCGCAGGTAGATGTTATTTTTTATAGGTATTATTTACAGTCAGACATTTTTTATTGGTAGGTATTATTTACAGTCAGACATTATGTATAGGTAGATATTATTCACAGGTGGACATTATTTATAGGTAGATATTATTCCAAGTTAGAATATTATTTACAGGTAGGTATTATTCACAGGTGGTCATTATTTATAGGTAGATATATTCACAGTTAGAATATTATTTACAGGTAGGTATTATTCACAAGTGGACATTATTTATACGTTGGTATTATATACAGTCAGACGTTATTTACATGTAGTTATTATTTATAGTTCGGCATTATTTATAGGCAGGTATTATTTACAGTTAGACATTATTTATAGGAAGGTATTATT